CTGAAGAGAAGTTGATATTTAAAATCAAAAATTTAAAGTACCGAATACTATGCTGCCACAAAATTAAAAATGATACCTATATATTTGCTAAGGAAACTCGTTTCTGCCCAAATCAGTGACACTGAAGTAGGAATACACTATATAATATATGATAATAATGATAAATAAAATATAAATATAAATATAAATAAAAAATAACAGATAAATATATAATAAATAAATAAACAATATATAGTTTGATACATTTCACAAATGCGTTTAGCGTGGCAGCCCCTGTACCTAATCTCAGTTCAGTCTGTGAACTGGTGATGCCCCATCCAGCGTGTCACGTTTATGAATATTCATATAATCAAAGAAAAGCAGAATGGTGGACAGAACGCCCCAACATTGACCGGAAGCATCGGTATACGTCATATCCAACAAACTACTGTATTTCGTAGGTATACCTGAGTTCATCCTGGGTCCACATCAGCCGATAAGTTCTGTGTATTAATCGTTTGCACTGAGCCTCATCTTCACCTCGAACGCTACGCACATTTCCAGAACGATTCTCCAGAGGATTCCTCAAGGCCCCAAATAGACAAAATCAGCAAGCAATAAACAGGTTGAAGAACACCCCGAGCCTAATTAATGCTATTTCCTCTGGTGACATTCCGGATAATCGCGTAGGGTTAGATTGCCGGGATGCAAGATTGAACCGCAGATGTATTGTGATGAGCTCGTGGCGCGCTGGAGGAAAATGGAAAATGGCGTCGTCGATAAGTAGTACAATTCCAGTAAAGGCGAAATGAATACTAAAAGTGCATAATGTGCATAATAAAGTATGATATTATGTATATTATATAATATTATATTACATATTGTGCAATATTATGTATTATATATGTTGATACATAATACACAGCTGAACTTCAATAAGAAGTGGCGCCTTGTGCATTAGGTTGTTGCTCAGTAGTTCTCCGTTCCCTCTAGGACAAAAGAGCTTTTATGAACACATTTTGCCGATAACACACAGACGACTAATTTGCTCTGTCCGCGTTCTTGGCTTTCAGAGGTTGTGGAATTTTCAATAGGGTTTATTTAGAAGTACAAAATGTACGGCAAAAACAACGTGTATGTTTGGGAAACGGTTATTTTGAAAACCAGGTGTTATGGTACTAAAAAGGCTCCGTCCAATTGCAACCGAAAGAAAGTTGAAGCAGTACAAAACAATTCGGTGCGTCATTCCCGGCAAAATATGTGATACGTTGTGCTCTGTACCATGCGTGATTGTGCATTGCTGTGTTTTCCCGAGCGCCATATTTTGCATTCCTTCAGGGCATCTTAACATTCCTAATCTCCTATAGGTAC